TCTCTCTCTCTCTCTCCTTTTTTCACTATTTATGACCCACTTCAGAGTTCTCTCCTCTCCAGCCATATATCTCTCCCACACATCCTCTTCTCCTCCCCCCGCCTCCAATCAACTAAATGAACTCCTCTGTCCTTCTTTATCTTCCCCTCCTGATCCCTTTTTTAAATAACCTCACCTCAACACACACACACACACACACACACACACACACGGTCACTGTCACACAGAGTAAACGGTGAGCGTGAAAGCATCATCCAACCTAATTAATGATACAGGAAAAACCGGTTGATATCCGGCGGCCTTGAGCTGTCTGGTTCTCTCAGCAGCTACATTGAAACATTAAACTGTTACATCACTTCCTCATTTTTTCATGCTGCGGTACGTATGGAAGCCAATATGAAAATATTTACTTCCTGGAAAAGTAAATGTGAGACACAGTGCATACAATTATAATAGTATCAAAAGCGCCAATATTGTAATTTGTATTCTACTGCCTTGTATTGTATTGTAATGAGAATGACAAGAACTAAAACATTCTCAGTGTATGTCAGTGAGACAATGGAGGAGCAGACTTTCACTGGTAACAAATGGAGGCATCTAGTGGTCCTAATGGTTTACTGCTGGTTTCTTTATGAATGACTACAAGCCTGCTAAGTCTGTCTCATTATAACATACCACTGGACTGTGTAGCCAACTGATATTTAGTGTGATGAGTTTTAACAGGCTAATTGGACTTTCCTGTCTGTTTCTAAACCGATGCCAACATCAGATTTGACTGTGACTCACCATATCACACCCAGATGAAGATGGCAGCTTCCAGCCTGCCTATCTGGAGCCATAAAACACACGTCTAACACAGACAGTCGGGCTAATCTTACTGCACATTTGCATTGGTGGGAATCAGGGAGCTGTTAAGTGTTCATCTGATGACCGCAGGCTGCTGCAGTCAGCTTATTTCCTGTAGACACACTGTGATACTACTGAGTGAAACAGTGTTTATTTGAATGCTAAATGAAATATGTTGACATATGTTCAGTTACAGGTTTGAAGAAAACACAAATTAAGCATCAGAATTAAAGTGAAAAGGGCAATTCATTGTCACTGATACAAGGGTAACACTATATATACAAGTACCTGTGTATTTTTCAACTAAAAAGAAAGAAACTAGGAACTAATTAAAGAGGAACTCTACTGATTTTTACGCATAACGATCAGTTTACTAATCAGGTCATGGGAAGTACAACTGAGCCAGGTGAGGTTTCTAAAATCTGACACGAAAACCTCTGATGTCTATCTAAGTTTGGTCCCAAAAGATTACAAATTTATCATGGAAAGCCTGTGTTTAGAGAAATGTGGGCTTTTACTAGGCAGGGAGGGTCTAAAAAAATACATCCTGAATGACTAATGATGAATCTTGTTCCCAGTAGGAGATGCTGGTCAATTGAGTGGACACAAAATAATAAGTAACATGTAATAATTCTTACTTTTAAGACAACTAATACTATTACTATTAATAATTCACGTAGTTATTGGTTAAAAATTCAAGTGTTCATTATGCAAAGTAATCATAAGACAATGGTTTATTGACACTAAATTCACAAAAAAGGCCCTATCCAAAGTCAGTTTTTTGTCTGTTCATTCTGGGCTACTGTAGAA